CCCCCCCCCCCCCCGACATTCTCGAGGCAACGAGGGCATTACGTCCAATTACAAGAAGCTTTCAGCAGATCAAATTCGGGATGGCGGAGTTTTGATCACGACCCAGAAGAGCGGCTTGGATCAATTAGAACGAGGTTTCCCCTCCTCGCCGCCCGTCCCGCGCCCCGTAAACTCGTTTTCGCGGTACGATCGCGTCCCGGCTGGCTCGCTCGGCCGCGAGCTTCACTCGACTTCGCTTTCTTCCTTTATCCTTTTGATCGGGTGCACCGGACCGTGAAGGCGTCCCTTCAACGTCGCTCGGCTGCGGCTCGCGCTCGGAATTGACTGATTGGAAGCGACATTTCGCCCGGTTAAAAGAACGGCGCGCGGGTCGTCGCGATAAAAAAATTATCGGCCGATCGATTCCATCGATTCCCATCGATCGCGCCTTCCCGCGAACTCGGTCGCGCGGCAGCCCTCTTATCCGACCGTGCGCCGTTTATGCGATACTATTTCCGCGCTATTGAAATTCTTATCGCGCGTATCCGCGGAATATTTCCGCATCGCTCCTCGTGTACGACGCGGCATAGGCGTTTATTCAGTCGGCGGGCATTAACGTGGACGGCGACAGCGACTACGAGGTCGTCACGAAAATTACCTATGCGGGGTGGAGGATTACTTATGCAGGGGGGAGAACAGAAGGGGGCGGCGGCGGCGGCGGCGGACGGGAACGGTGTAGAGATGCAGACGATGTGAAAGCTCAACTACCGTGGAAAAATAAATGTGCCGTCTGGCCCGAGGGTGAGTTAGCCGTGCAGATCGCAGTTTCAGGGAAACTGCGCTTAAAATACGGACTACCGGATTAATCGCGTTTGTCTTACGTGACTCGCTCCGCGAGCACCTTGCGAGACAAAATCAACTTGAGAACGCTAACGTGAAGGTTCGTTGGACCGCCGTAAAAATATCTCTTGTCTGCATCTGGTTATTCGAACAATAATGTGATTCGTCCGTTTAGACGTTTTTACGACGACTTTTTTTATACTTCTGTGCAAAACAGACATATACATATATTTTTTTTGCTTTATTGGAGGTATGCGAAGCATAGATGAGTAAACTTGAGACAGTCGGATCTGTCGACTCTCAATTCGACACGAAATTCATCGGGGCGGACCCAATCGTTAATCGCTCTCCTTACTTTGCGATAGAGAACAGCGGCTCGTTTTCGCTCGCACTTCGCGGCCTCGCGTGGGAAATGTGCACGGCGACGCGGCTGGCGCGAACGACGACCCGTCGGCGTAAACTGCACCGTAAACTGCATCGGCCTTTACGAACGATCGAGCAATTACAGGTCGACCGTGGCGGCGGCTTCCGAGCAGGTCGTTACGTCGACGGCAAACCTGGCGTAGCATTGCACGGCCGACCTTTGTCTACCAGCCTTGTTGTTCTTACGTACTCCCCTGTGACTGCACGCAACTCCGACATTCGCCACCCCCTCCCCAACTCTCGTTTCCTCCGAGCCTTTATTCGATCTCTCGCTCTCACTCTCTGCAATCTGCCTGCTTTCACGCAGACCATCTCGCTCGCGATCACACGCCAATAAACAATGAATACATGAATATGAAAATTTCCATGAGAATTTATCCACGTACATACGCACCGTGACTCCGCTCTGGGCCTCGAACAAACGCAGCCACGGCATGACGGCGTTGCACTCCGTTGCATCATCCGCGCATCGCATCAATCAGTCAGCGGATCCCGTAGCAACCGGAACGCGTAAATCTGCGATAGCCTGAAATTGAAACTAAAGTCAGACTTCGTTTTAAAGATCCATCTTCGAATGTGTGTTTTATTCTTAGACTTTTTTTTTAGTCAGACTTTTTTTCAATATAGCACAATCTGTTATAATATTATATCCAATCTGATGTAATATCGTGAGATATAAAAAACTTTTTTTTTTTCTTATTTTTATGCAAAGTTAAAATAAAAAGCGACTTTAATGTATGGAATTTAATTATAGTTCGTAAAAATACGAAACAATTGCGTAAATAGAAATCTTAATGAATTATAAAAAACAGAATTATTTTCTGCAATCACATTATTTCTGCTAAATAAAAAAGTTACCGGCTGAATATATAATGCGCAACTGTATCTCTGCCGGAAACTAATACTACCAAATATGTACATTACAAATATTCTCAACACTCTCATCGTACATTGCGTTTTAATTTTAAAAGACATTAAAATCTTAAAAGCTAATTTCAGAGCTAATTTAGCGAAATTGTTCCTAGGAAAAGATACCTATCGATTTCTCACAAAATATCCACAATTGCGGAAAAAGCGAAGAGCTTCGTGACCAATTAGTGACGAGAAATAGATATTACTCGTCGCAGGCACAAACTCATATCTCTAAAAATACAGATCTCCCATGTCTAGTCCGCGTACGAAAGGAATCGACATTAACGCCGATAGAAAACAAATCTCCAGCGACTGCACGCGTTGTGAGGGAAAAATGCAGCGCAGCGCAACGCACAGAGAGGAACCGTGAAAGGGCGGGAGAGAGAGATGGGAAGAGAGAGATAGAGAAAGAGACGAATACGCGGCTCGGCGACCATCGGTGCGTTTATTCTTCCGCTGCAGGGCGGCACGTCGGAACATCGGAACGTGGCGGAAGCGAGCGGAACGGGCAGAGGCCTCCTCCCGTAATAACAGATGTAAATTACGTGCGTACACGTACGCGGGCAGGTACATACGCCGGGATGGCCGTACGTGTGCGTGAGTGGCGCAGAGCGTAGCGGCGAGCGCCGAGCGAGTAGGTAGGTGAATGCACGTCGGGGCTTCGCCATCGCCGTCGCCGTCGTCGTCGTTGTTGTCGTCGTCGTCGTCGTCGTCGTCGTCGTCGTCGTCCTTGTCATCGTCGCCGTGGCAGCGGCGGTTTTGCGTACACGTGTGCGCCCGCACACGCGTAGCCGCGGGTCCGGAATATTTGCAAGCCAAATTTTAATACCGGAATTAATTTGACCCGAGGAGGCGGACGAGTTTGAGGTAGTTAGGTACACACCTTCCCGCGCTGGTGTACGGCTTCCCCGGCGACTTCGACGTTGGGGTCCGCCCGAGCGAGTCGTCGTCCGCATCGAGGGACGACGGCGTCCTCGCCGCGGTCGTCCTTCGTCGCATTATGTAAAAAGTGTAAGCTAATTTATCGACGTCGCGCGTAGAAAGGGCGTACCGCGCGCGGACCTCGCGAAACTTTCCTCTTCCTCGCCCGCTGGTACTTTAGCTTTATATCGTGAATTATTATGGCCGCCGAGTTCGACCCTTTTCTCCCTTTTCCGAGGATTCGCCGTTGCCCCGGCGCGAACAGTGACGCGCAACTCTCAGTAATTGCGAATGGTCTCTTCTGCGACACGTCGCAGCAGAAACATTCAACAACGTCACGGTTGTTGTATTATTACGGTACTTTCAGCCGACCGAGACTCCGGGACTGCGCGCCCGAAGTTGGTTTTATCTCGATCTTATCAGCCTGCTAGGTTGCGCCGTCGTCACAAAGAACGGAGAGTTAACAAAAGGACAGAACTTGCTGAAGGTTGCGCGTCACTGCTTCATCTCGCGGCGGTTTCCACCGCTCCGCTCTATACGTCTTTCTCCTCTCGCTCCGCTCTGTCTGTGCTATACCACCGTTTTCTTTCCCCGGCTCGTCCCCCGCTCGCCCCCGCATTCGCCTACGTCCGCCCGATACAAATGGCCAAAGTAAACTTCGCCATTACGAAGTACCTGGCGCGGAAGTCACTCCGGCTACGGAGCCACCCACCATTTTGGCGCCGCCGTCCACGGCGAGAGAAACTCCCCTTGGACTTTCACGGGAGAGAAAGGGACCCCTACCCAGAGCGCCACCAGGCACCGCCGGTCCAGAAGGGCACCGGAACTTACTCTGCCGACCTAACTCGCGCTCGCTATTAACGTTCGCGAGAGAATAACGCGGATACGCACGAAAAGCATGTTGAAGAGCGGCCAGACGGAATTTAACAACAGGCAAACCGAGGGTAGCGCCTTCCACGCATGTCGAGCACAAACGCAAAAACTAATGAGCATTAGATTAATTAAATATTCGCCGAGTTTCGAGCGAATAATAAATGCGCGTAACTCGCTTCATCATCATCGGGAATACAATCCGAACAATCGCTTACGTATGTCGGAGAATAATCCGTCTTCAAAGCTGCGGACAGGTTTGAGGGGATAACTCGGCCCTTTCAACGGCTTAAAGGACTGCCGTCAGACGACGACAAGTAGAACTTCTCCAAATCTAACAAAAGAATGTGAGAACGCGTTAAACCGGATTTTTGACTACGTACAGAACGTTTCGCGGATCGATGAGGTGAATCGAATTGAAGTCGACGAAAGAAGATCGCCGGCGGCAGTCGATTGTTCCTTATCGAGCGAGAGAGTTTATATACGAAAGATTCAGAAGCGCGATATCGAACTCTGCTTTACACGTAGCGGGTAATTAAATTTCGTAATCGCCGGCTTGGTCCAGGAGGGGGGGAGGGGCACCGTTCGGCGATTTTAATTAAAATTATTTAGAGGCGGTACGGGGCGATAATTAATTAAGAGTAAGGATACGCCGGTAATTAAAATCCCGCGAAGAAGAGGCCGATCGCACCCACCTCCCGGTGTGCACAAGGGCCTAGGGACGGAGTTCGAAGTGAAAGGCGCCCGGAAAAGAGGACGCGAACGTGGGAGAAAGAGCGGGAGAAGAGAGTTGCGAGTGTGTTGGAAGGCTATTTTTGCGATCCGGGAAATTCGCAGAAACGTCCGCCGAGGCACCGAGGCACTTTTCACCGTGCGCCGGCATCTCCTAGGAGCATTAATTCAATATCTAATTAACGCGCGCCTCGCAGTCTCGAGACCTCTCTCGTCTATTCTCGCGGGCGCGCTGCTTCAATTTTACGAGCTGTCGCGAAAGGCAGCCGCGGCGATACCGGCGGCCATCGCGGCCGTCGTAAATAGCTTTCGCCTGGGAATCGTCGAATAATTTCAGGAAAAAACAGCCAGCCGGCGGAAGTTTCGCGCGATAAATAATTGAGCGATATCCAGCCGAGCGATAGCTTGGCGTCGACGTTGTGCGAAACTTTCATTACGCTCGGACCCGCGAGACCGGCTGGCCGACATCTTGCGATTGCCGGCAAGTGAAAAAAAAAATTGCAAAAACTCACGAGGAAAGTAACGAACGCGATACTCTATGCGCAACTTTTCGTTCGACTTTTAATGGAACGAAAGGGTTCTCTCTCTCTCTCTCTCTCTCTTTCTCTCCCTCTTTTTTTTCTCCGCCAGGTCGGACGAACTACTTTACGAGCTGAACTACATATTCTCCGGAGCGACGAGGGAAAATCGCTCGAGTCGCCCTCCGCGCGCCGTTCCCTTCGGGTTCGACCCTTCGTACCCTCCCTGCCATTCGATAAACTTTGTCGATTACACTTTTCCGTCGAGCGGCCGGCCGACGTGAGCGGCAGCCGCGCCCGTGTAAGTTAATGAATCTCACGTCGGGGACGCGCAAGGTAGGGGGATATCCGGCTGACCCGAGGAAACTTGCGTCCGGAATTACGCAGGGACGAAAAGAGGACGGAGGTTCGTGTTGGAGGGGAATAATCTAGTAATAGCTTCCGATAGTCCCTCGCGCCGGCAAAATCTGCCACGTAGGTAGTGATCCGCGACGCGATAACTTTTAAAATTCAATTTTAATGAATTACAGCATTTATTGTTCGCGACGCATCACTGTATGATCCCGGGAAGGTAAAGCTAGTGGAGATGCAAACAAATTTACCTCAAAGCAGTGATGTAATGAAAAATAACGTGTAGAGTTCTTCCCGGAAGACGAAGAGCGTTACCATAAAGCACTAACAGAAGCATAATGCTAATTACTATACATTTGTAAGATAATTAAATGCAAATCGAATATTATTCTGCGAAAAGACGGCAGACGCGAAAAATTACGATTTATAAATTATTTTTTATTCGTTCATTATTATTCTCAATTAACGATCGAATACTGATAATAATATTATTAAATTCACATATATGAAATATTGTGATTGCTCAATAATTAAGATTATTCGATTCAATATAGTCAAATTTCAATATAATGCATTTCAGTTTTATTATAATAATTAAATGTAAACTAGAACACTCACAAACCTAACAATACTGTTTTTTTCCCCATGAGTATTATTAAACTAACTCTAGACGAAATAAAAATCCTAAAGAACGAAACAACCGCGTCAAAGAAACATATCGCAATGAAAAGGAGAGTCAACGTTCGATGTTCGATAAGTTTCACGCTCGCGTTGCTACATCCTCAGATACAAACACCCTGTGTTTATAGAATGGAATTTCATTTGCTGAACGAAAGGGAAATAAAAACAATCCGCCTACGTACATCAGTTCGAAGCTGCTTGCGAGCCCGCCCGCGCGCGCGCGCGACCGACACTCTTTGATTTTCACTCTCGGCATCCTTGACCCAGAGACCACGTTCGATTCCAGCGTCGGCTTCAATTTTTTCGCGCGGCTCTTTTTATTCCTCCGATACCTCACCTTTCTCTTTCTCCACGCGCCGTTCCTTCATCGCCGCCTCCTCCTTCACCGTCCGTCCGCCTGCCCCCTCGGCAGCCCCGCACTCTCTTTCGCCGACCGAGAGAGCCATCCTCCTTCCCTCCTCTTGCCGCGCGTCTATTCGCGCCCTATCCTTTCGCGTCGTCGCCATTTTGCGCCCTTCATCGATCCTGCGCCCACGCACTC